CCTATGCACCCGGTACTCTAGATTTATCCTCTGATCTTATCACTCGTTACCGAAGTGAGGCTATTTTTTAATCTAATGTTTTCCTAATTATTGAAATACGTTGATCAATACTTTAGTTTGGTAGATAGATCTATATAATTATTTAGATCTAGATTAGAATGGGCCCTAGATTAGAATTAACTAGGACGCTCTCATATTCTACTCTATCCAACAAGCCCAGGGCCAAGCCATCGGGGCTCAGTCACACGCTCGCTGGGGGCGTGGCCTATTTTACGAGTGCTACGTTTTTTTTTATTGAAGGAAAGAGGGAGCTGCAGCATCTTACCGTAGGCTGTACTATCTTTGTTACTATTACAATAATATCTGTCCCCGTGGTTTTAAGCACCCCGCATAATTTATCAAAATTTGATCATTTTTTGCATAATATCTGATTATTTTCCTTTATCATTCTTTGTTAAAATTAACAGAATCGCATTATTTTACAATTTTGGGCTCAGTTTGCATAATTTCAGAATTTTTTTTACATAAAACTGCGGGGACAGTTATGTCGAGTGCGTCATACACTACGGTACTGGATTTTCCCAGCAGTGCAAAGTGGTTACTATTATCCTGTTCCAAGTATAATATAATTAAACTAGTATCTCTTCTACAACAACACCTATTGAGCTGTATACCTCTGCTCTCCCAAGTCGCTCACTGAGTTACAAATTTGTTCTTTTCAGGACAGAAATCTTCCTGGACCTTTAGAACAATTCTGCGACGAGGAGCAGGAAATTGCAAGCCAAGTAAAGAGTCTTGTGAATAGAGAGCAACAAGCCATTGAGTGTGTAGAGGGTTTGGTCTCTGATTCAAATTGGTCAGTGAGGTCTCGTATTTCAACTTCTTTGCTGGAAAAGTTTCAAGGGAATATAATTCGGTTTGAAGACCTGACTATTGGTAAAGAAATTGGTCAAGGAGGGTTTGGCGTTGTGTATATGAGCACCTTGGACAGAGAAGTGGTTGCTGTGAAGAAACTGAAAGTACAACAGCTGACAAAGAGAAGAATGCAGCAGTTTGAAAATGAAGTGTCGCTGTTTTGCGTCCTGAGCAACCCTAACATCCTGCAATTCATTGGAGCTTGCATTGAAAAACCCAATTTGGCCATTGTTATGGAATATATGGACATGAGTTTGTTTGATGCTCTACACATTAAACAGGTAACAGTTTTGTTGAAAATACCTCCATTCTATATGATTTGAACTACAACTCTCCTGAAATGCTGCTTCACAAGAAAATTTAATAAAAAAAGCAGCAGAGCTCTTTTTACCCACAAGCTGTCTATACAGATATATCTCATAATGTGGTGGAATCAGGCGCTCATCAATTTTTGAGCATGTGGATTATTGGTATCATCTTAAAGATTGTTCGTTTGTCTTGTTTACGATGAAAAATACACTAATCTATCTTGAATAGAAGTCGAGATATTATTTGAGATTGAAGTAGGTGGGGGTCGCCTGGTTTCAGAGGTAAAATTGGTGAGAAAATGGCTACCAAAGTTTGGTGAATTCCATAGTCAAGAGTGTCCTTGGAAAATGAAACTATACATTTTTTGCACCTCTTTAATCAATTTTTTTTCTGTAAAATCCGCACTGGGTTGTTTTTAAATGTATATAAAAGATATTGAGCCAAAAAACATGAAATTCTATAAAAATTGCCAAGCCGGTGGAAAAATGATGGTTTCTTTGATTTCATTGTTTTGACAAGCACCTGATTTCCCCACGATGCCTCACATATTGTTTCATAGATTTGGTTGCAAGGTAACCTGGCTAGAAAATTTCACATCACTAAAATCAAGAAACATTTTACTCAGAGAAGCAGCCAGCAATGGATGAAATGAATTGTTATAGACATTAGAATGGCTTGGACCATTTTCGTACTAAACTGATTCATGTGCCTTATTTTCTTCAGCAAAAAACTGGTTTTGACAGCTAAGCACATCCTTGCTCTTGGCAGAGGACATGTCAGACCAGAAGCAATTTCCTCTGCCCCCATAATTTATACAAATCCAAGGTTTTCCCGGTCATAAAGTTTGTATGAAGAGTTTGTGTAAAGGAAACCTAGTTAATTTATAAAACAAAACTTAAGAACAGTTCCTTTTTAATCTGCTGTGCTGGTGATCTGTTGCGTAAGAGAAATATGCGATTGAGTACAAATGAATGACACATTGTAGGGGAGAGGGAGAGGTGTAAACATTGATTTTACTACTATTTATGACAATTTATGCTGCGTTTGAGAGTTTTGGAGTTTCATATGTTGTGTTCATGCAAATTTTCAATTTTGTTTTTGGATGATGGCTAGGTGGATTTCCCAGAAAGTACCAAGCTAGCTCTGATGGACCACATGACCTTGGGGCTCATGTACCTGCACAACAACGACATTGCCCACTGCGACCTGAAGACTCAGAACATACTGCTGAACAACGTTCCTGGCCAGGAAGTGACAGTCAGCTCGGAGCCAGTGGTGGCCAAAATTTGTGACTTCGGCCTCAGCATGATGAAGTCAGACACAGAAACAACCTCTACGAACGTGGTGACAGGTGCGGGAAGTCCACGCTATGCTGCTCCAGAGGTGCTGAGAGAAGAGAAACTTTCTTTGGAGCAGTTGAAGAAGGCGGACATGTACTCAATGGGATTGCTGCTCTTTGAGTTGTCCACAGAGGTAGGTATAGATAGAATTTGTGGTATTTTTTTTCTTCTATTTTTTTCTTTTAAGTGTAGGTGTTGTATGCCTCCATTGACACAATTTAGATAATATAGCAGGTGAGCTGCCTCAGCACTTCCTGTCTGGGCCAACCTGGGCTAAGAGGAATACAACATCCCAGCAGATAGACGTGGCTAATGGATAACAATTCTCCCCACATGGGAATCAAATTCAGGTCTATTGCATGTGATATTGAAGTGCCTGCTACATCACAGATGCAGACTTTGTGTCTATATCTGTCTATTACAGTATTTCCTTTTTTGATATGATGCATAAAAGATATTTGATACAAGGACTTTGCAGAGTTACACAAATACTTATGTATGTTGTCATAGTAATAATAATTGTCGTAATAATACTAGAAATAATAATTATAATAATAAGAATAACGATAATAAGGGGGGGCTTATTTAGGCCACATATGGCATATATACCATAAAGCCCCCCCCCCCCCCCCATCCCAACCTTATTTAGGCCGCATTTAGCTTAAACTACCATTTTCCCACAACTGCGTTCGTTCCGCTTTCTCAGTGTTGCACTTTTCTCATTTCGTACGGTTTTGTCTCCAGCGCATAACTGATCAATCATAATATAATGAAAATAGTCAGAACAATTCTCAATACGGGAGATTTTCCTCAATCCATATGGTTTGAATGAGGGCCAGTTTTTTTCCTTCTTGGAGGGGCAAAAGATAGGCGCTACTATTTTGGCACACTTTGGTCAAGTGGAAAGGTCAAATTCTCTTAACGAACTTCAGGGTCACATTTGTTGTTTAAGAAGAGTGTACACAATGTGCCCCCTGTGATCGGTCGTAGTTTCATTTTGTGAATCGCACTGTCACATCCGATAGGCCTACATCTTTTTAAAAGGAAAAGAAAGATCTTCAAAATGGCGGTCTTCGAGTGAAAATCGATTCTGTTGAAATGGAATTTGCTTCTGAAAACAAGGCCATTTTTACAAAACAATAAGATAAAAACTACTGGCTGTATATTTTTGAAACTTCAAGAAATATTATTCATTCCAGCATCTTTTGATACCTGAGTTGTTAAGGTTGAAGTTTTCACAACGCTAATGGGGCTTTCCGTAAAAATATATACAAAAGCCGAACCACGGAATCGGCCGGTCACCGAATCGCCCCCGCTCTCCACCAATGATAATACATAACAAGATGGGCCACTCAGCCAAAAAAGTGTCCGCAGGAAGTATGCTCTTTGCTTCAGATGGCGCTGCAGTCTGTTTTGAAGCTCTCTTTCGTTTTTCCAGAAGAAGAATAGGAATAGCACCTCCTTGCGTGCGCAGATCGACTGCTGTTCATCAGCAGTTCGGGTACGTTCAGTGCGGAGTTTTAGTTTTTTAAAATTTTAATGACCTCTCGCCTTTCATTCTAAAGTCAAATTAAACAAAGAAAACCATCACCCTTTCCTCCGGAAGAGGTTTTTTGTCAGCGTAACCATTTAAAAAAGCGTTCTTCCGAAATTTATCCCAAAACTTGCTAGTTTCACTTTGATTTTTTAAAACTCAAGTAGGGTAACTCTGTTCGCAAAGAGGGCGCCACCAAATTTGGAGGACACTTTTTTAATTGGCTCAAAGAGAGAAGTGGCCCATCTTGTTATGTACTATCATTGTCTCCACTGAACACTGCGATTACGTGATGCTTCGGCATCGCATTTATTCGCACTTAACTTGTTTCTCTAGATAATAATACTATTGATAGGTGCAGCTATGGAATTTGTTATGTACTATTGATAGGTGCAGCTATGGAATTTATGATGTACTGACTGACAAAAGAATTCACAGTTTTGTTTTTATTTTACCATATTTGGCTTTTGAATAGTGCAGATTATAGCTGCTAAATCTAGATTCCCTGTCTAGAATCAGTAGTTATAGGCTAGAAGAAACAGCCAGAGAGTCTACATCTGCTAGACCTAACTTATTAGGCTATGCCTTTGGGCTTTGGAGTTGAAATAAACTTGAATTGCACAGTTCTGGTTAATTTTAGATTCAGCATCTCTTCTATATTTTCCAGATCTCATCATAACAATCACGTTTACTTTTATTAGATCCAACTTTTTTTTCTAAAATCTGTTTTGCGCAAACTTACTAGTAGAGAACATAGTTTATACACTTCTGCTCAGTCTTTCAGTACTTAATAATTTTATGTTATTATTTTCTGGATATTTTTACTTTTTTTCCATTATCAGATTGTGCAATTTTCTTTGATAAGAATAGCATTAGCAGGGGACTTTTTAGACAGCGAGTTTCTGACTAAATAATTTTTTTTAAATTGGGCGAATCAATGATAATTGCTAATTGCTAATAATTCTGAAAACTATACAGTTGTCATGAGTAGAGAAGAAAAATGGGTGAAAGAATAAAAGAATGAGGTAGAGTATAATTTGTCCCAAAAATTGCAATTGCAAGTGGAGATCATAATGTGATTTTGTTATCGAGAGAGAAACTAATAGTGTATCTGTATCAAGGCATGCCAAGAAAGTTTCTACAGCAAACAAGAATGTAAAGTCAACTGAAAACAAAAAGTATATAGGTGAATGAGGCTGCAAGAACACCTCTCTCTCTCTCTCTCTCTCTCTCTCTCTCTCTCTCCCTCCCTCCCTCCCTCCCTCCCTCCCTCCCTCCCTCCCTCCCTCCCTCCCTCTCTCTCTCTCTCTCTCTCTCTCTCTCTCTCTCGTCTTGGGAGAAAGATTATCTAGTTGCCCGCCGGTGCATGTTGAACATCATGTGCAGTGTGTAACAATCACTTCGGTGTCAGTGCGGCGGGGCAAAGGTGCATTAGGACCGTACAACTCGGATAGACACTCGCACACACACATATAACATTCACACACTTACACTCACACACATATACACACAATTCCATGTACTCTCTCTCTCACCACGCACAAACACACACACACACACGCACACGCACACACACACACACACACACACACACACACACACACACACACACACACACTCACACACACCACGCACACTCACACACATAACTCCTACCTCCACTTTTCATTCAGAATCAATCCTCTATTTTCCCATATTACACATTTTGAACTAATCCCCCTCACTAAATAAAAGATCACTAGAGTCTCGATTTGCGAATCCATGGTTAGTTCTAGAAATCTACCTAAAAAACACACAAACTAACTGCTGTATGTATAATATGATCTAATGTAGGCATGTTAGGACTAACCTATTGACATATTCATGCCATTCGAAACTGTCATCTCAAATCCTCAAAATACAAAACATTCAAAGTTAGCAGGTGGCAGTGTTACTCTAGATTCAGTCAAATACATGTATTTATGCCAAAAAAAAGAAACAAATCACATTTTTTTAAAGTAAAAAAAATAAATGAAGATTTGGGTAGAAATATAAATGGAATAATGTCGAACCGAGTCTGCCCACCGTGTTTTTATTTCTTTCTTTTTTTACCTTGCCTTACCCTAACACATGACGATATCAGGCTACACCCCGAGGTCCACCTATCCACTTTCAAAGAAAATACACATTTATTAATAAATTCAGTAATTCAGACATGCACCAACGGCGCAAGTTTTTAACTGCAGATTCTTAGAGGTACAAAAAATGACCTCAAATCGATTCTAGATTCATGACATGTCCTGGAACTGTGAAAGATGGATGTGAAGAGGGTTTTTTCGTATATGTGGCCTACATAAGGTCTAGCGTGGGGAGTTAGCTTAGGCCATATGTGGCCTTAATAAGGGTAGATAGCGGGGGGTAGCTTTTTAGGCAATATGTGGCTCCAATAAGGTTAGGTTTGGGAGTTTAGCTTATATAGGCCATATGTGACTCAAATAAGGTTAGGGAGGGGAGTTTAGCTTATATAGGCCATATGTGGCCTAAATAGGTCACCCTAATAAAAATAATGATAACGTTTATCATGGGGATGTAAGAAGATTTTAAGCGCTGTACAATACTAAATGTGAGGCAGCGTGGTGGAATCAGGCTCTCGTCAAAATAATCAAAGTAAAGAAACTTGCCATTTTCTGCAGGTTTGTGAATTTTTATCAATTTTTTGGGGTTTTTTTTTGCTCAACGCCTTTCATGCCCATTAAAGAACTCATTTCTGTGTGGATTTTTATGAAAAACGTTGATTAAAGGCACAAAGAATGTAAATTTTCAGTTACCACGTACTCTTAAGCTAAGGAAATAACTAATCTTTGGCGGCCATTTTCTCATTAATTTTACCTCTGAAAACAGGTGACCCCCACCTCCTTCTTTTGCAAATATCTCGACTCGTATTCAAGGTAAATGGATCTTTTTTCATCCAAATAAAGACAAATGAACAAGATTTAAGGTGATACCAATAACTCTACATGCCCAAAAATTGACGAGAGCCTGATTCCACTACGCTGCATCACAAATTATCATTCAAATTAAATTTCGAATCAAAAGGCAGAAATTGTACCTAGTGAGACCATTTAATAGCAACGACAACAACAAAAACACGCATACCACACAGACACACACACACACACACACACACACACACACACACACACACACACACACACACACACACACAACTCCCAGAACTGTACACATTCTCGAGTACAAAATTTACTGACAGAGGATGGTGTTGAACAAGAAATATGTTTTTAGATTTTATTTAAAAAACTCTCTATCTCTCTCTCTCTGATGTTATGATATGCGTTTCTTTGGGGGGGGGGGGGGGAGAATTTCCAAATTTTGGGCGCAAAGGAAGAAAAGGCTCTTCCACTCAACTGAGGGTACTCCCATGAGATAATATGTGACAGAGACTTTTGAGTTGGATAAGAAGTCTTTCTTCAAGCAGAGTTTTCTTCAGTTATCATAATTTTTCTTTTGCTTTCACTTTCAGGTAATTCCCTTCGAGGACCTGAACATACCTCAGCTAATTCGGGGCAAGGGACATAACGGTGAGACACCAGAATTTTCCTTGCGACTTGATATTCAGCTGGAATATGTTATAAAGGACCTGTGGAGCTTTGATCCCAACAGCAGACCAACTTCAGAAACGCTGACAAAGGAAGTTGACAATATTAATTCTGTGTATGCTTTGGAAGAGTAATTGTCTTAGTACTTGGGCTGACAGTTTTCTCTCTTTTTCATTAATTTTCTATCCCATGATATACTTTTTAGTCCACTTGTTTTGCAACGGCAAGAGAAGTTGAGTCATGCATCTTTATCACAAAGCAGTAATTGATTGTGGAAATAAACATTGTAGTATGTTGAACAATGTTTTTATGACTATTATTTCAAATATCAGACAGTTGAGGTTAAAAGATAAGATGCCGGATTAAAGGTAAAATTAGAGCAACTTAATTAAAAGTTAACTAAAGCTAACAATCCAAGTTTGAGGATGTTAACTCTTTCCGGACGCATCGCCGATATATTGGCGCGAGTCCACACCCCTTGCGGCCGTATCGCCTATATATCGGCTGTGATAGGGAGCCTCAGTATTTTTCGTTTTAACATGATCCGTCATTCATAATTACTTGTTATTGTTATTGAAAACTTGGAAAGGATTTAGGAAACGAAAACATCTAGGCCTAGTTTCATTTTGCCAAAGCGCCGCTTTGGCAAAAAAACGAGTGAATTAATTATTTAAATTAGTTCTTGTGGTCTTGAATCAACAAAACGATGTAACCGGACTCGGTATAAATATCATAACTCAAACAAAAAATGGAAAATTGCTTTCAAATAAAAAGCTGCGCATTCAGAAATTTATGGATTATTCTCTTGGCCTGTATGTGATAAGATAGCTATGCTGATTTGCTTTCTCTTGTTTGGTGAATGTAATTTTTACATCAAAATGTATTTTTCTCATCGCCATCGCCATTTCTAACCCTTGTAATGCATACTTATGTCCAAAATTAATCCTTGTTTCATTGGAATGTATTCCTCGTTCAATTTCCTTCTATTTGATATATCATATTTTACGTTTTGAGTGATGGTTATGCTTATGTAAAGTTATTTTGATAACATTGGTCAACATACATTTTGCAGCATTAGTTTTAAGTTTAGGATTTGTTCTAAGCTAATTTGGGGTCGCTTATTCTAGAAATGATACAGGCCAAAGGGCTAGAACTCAAATGGCCCCTGGATTGGAAAAGTATTCTTGAAATGTATTCGTTTTTGTGTATCACGTCATTACGTCAAGGTTTTGCTCAATGAAAAGGTTATATTTTTCATGTTCATATTATGACAAAATTCAGTAGTTTTCAAACAGTATAGCCTATAGTTTGATTTAAAACGCCGTTTTAATGAATTAGAGATAGGCGTTGAACCTTTAACGGTGTGACTCTTCATCAAAAATAATATTATTTATGTAAGTGATCAATAATAGTTCATTTATGCCAATGTTTCTGTGATATAACGAAATAAAATGTAGCTATATCTTTACATGTGCGCTACAAAATGTAGCTCAACCACTATCTATTTTGACCCTCAGTCTTCACAAGAGCATGCCAAAAAATCTGCAAAAGTAATGGCTTGCCTGTAACGACCCTTTTTTTTTGTACAAACAGTGTTGGAGATTTTTGTGAAAGTAGTGTACACGCTTAAAATTAAGGACGAAAATCAAATTTTTCACACACATCGATTTCAAAACACTATTGATATATACTCAGCCATAATTAAATGACGATTACCGTTTTTCAGAACGTTTGTCTTCAAACTGAAAAAAACAACAAGCATGTTTAAAGAATGATGTACAGATAGTTTTATCATACTAGAGAAAAGGAACTACTACAGTACTTTGCTACATACAGAGACTGCCTTCTGTCTCTACGTACCAGGTTTGTTATGTACATTGGGTGTATCTGACTACGACTCGAATGAGTAGAGACTTTTTCTAGACAGTTGGGAAAGAAGTCTTAAGTGTATAGAAGGATACAGACTATACACACGCACACACACTACACACACACACACACACACACACACTCACACACACACACACACTCACACACACACACACACACACACACACACACACACACTACACACACACACACACACACACACACACACACACACACACACACACACACACACTACACACACACACACACACACACACACACACACACACACACACTCACACACACAAACACACACACACACACACACACACACACACACACACACATGTATATATATATATATATATATATATATATATATATATATATATATATGTACACATTGTTAGTCATTATGTCAACTTAAATGTAAAGAAAGTTTTCTCTACCTTGTGTATTCTTATACCTTCATTTCAAGGTGAGCCTTGACTTGTTTTTTATATCAGATTATTAAGACTTCTTAATTGTGATATATTTGTCATGACGCGGTGGAATCAGGCGCTTGTCTTTTTTGGGGTATTTGGAGTTATTGGTATAATCTCAAAGCATTTTCATTTGTGTTGCTTTGTGAGGAAATATACCTAGCTATCCTGAACAGAAATGGAGCGTGAGTGTCCTCGGAAAGTGCAAGTTTACATTTTTTGTGCCTTCGATCCACGTTTTCTCAGTAAAATTCACACAGAATATGTTTTTGAATGGACATGAAGGGTGTTGAACCAAGAAAAAAAAAAAAAGAAAAAAATGCTGAATAGCCGTAGAGATTCTGGATTCTTTGATTTAATTATTTTGCCGAGCGCCTGATTTCATCTTGCTGCCTCACATTTTCAGTCCTTCAAATATGGTATAATTGTGTAGGCCAAACCTATTGATGGCCTTGAACTGACTGGTTCTGTGATGCTTTTAACGAAACTGTGCTGTGTGCTTTTGTTCTGTGAATATTGCCAGGTAATTCGAAAGTTTTTAAACTTTTGAATAAAAACATTAACATACCCTGAGAAATTCCCGGAAAGAGAAATAATTGCCTTGTCAATTCCATTCTAATTTCAGTAACAGCAGAGTTAATGTTTAGAGAATGTTGAGGAGGATGAAGTTGTTAAATAGTCTCCCAAGCCTGGGTGCAGTCGAATTGACAACATGTTATGGTGTTAAACAATGTTTGCATTGACAATCTAAGAGAATAGATATTTTATGCATATTCAGCAATGCTGAAAAGTTTAATCCAATTAAAGAAAGTTCACGAAAGACAGAAATGAAGGAAACGAAAGAAAAAAAGTAAAAATGTAGAGAAAACTGCTTTGATTTTTTAAAACTACTAATATCTGTATTTTGACCTCAGTTTATTCTGAAATTATTCATACTTGAAATAAATCGTAGCTCGTTCATTTCTCTTTTTTCTTACCTTATTGGAAAGTATATTATCTTAAATATTCTGAGTTAAAGTCAAGAATTTCCCGAACATGTCAGGAAAAATAGTACAGTATAGCAAGGAAAATTAAGGTTGCTGGTTGAATTGGGGGGGGGGGTTACTGCGTGTCACAGACCTTTTACAAAGTATGAATAATTATTATCACATGCTTTGTTTTTAAAGATGTTGCTTTTATATGGTAATTTTTTTTCATTTTTTAAAAATATATGTTTTGTCGTACACCCATAGCCTATATAAATCCTCATGATTTTAGATTCTAGCACTTCCTATTTGTTGTTTTTGTTGCTGTTGTTATCGATCCAGCAACAGTTGACCTTTCGCCCTTATGTCCAATGCCATGAAGGGATAAGAGGAGCATGTTTGCTGCAGTTGCTGTGATGTTCCACAGAGTGTGTTATCAATGTTAAGTCTGAGAGCAGAAGTGTAGCTCTGATAATATTATTTCAGGCTGCACAATGGAACAGATGTTGATCCACTGTCTCATATGTGTAGTCACGCAAAGGACATACGAGGGGATATCAATAAGTTTTTTACCTGAGTATGAAGGAGTGGAGCTACGAACTTGAAATTTGGTATGTAGACACTTAATTCTCTATGTAGTCACCAGCCGCAAGAACACATTTTTTGCCAGCGATGAATGACCTTGAAAAGTCCTTCAGCTTCTCACTCGAATTAAAGACCGAGATAATCAACGAAGTTAACAAGAAAAGGAAGACTATTCTAAAGCACAAATTTTACTGATATGGAAGGGAGGTAATCATGTGGATTTTTGAAAAATTTCCGGTAGTTTCCCCTTTGCATTGCTATAACGGGAACTCGTCTATAGAGGGATTTTTTTTCTACAACCAAAAGTCCTGCTATAGCCGTGCTCTACAGTAGTGTAAACAGCCGGAAAAACTCGTTGAATCAGAGTGTTCGTTGTAAAATAGGAAGGGATGTAAACTGTTTTTACGTGTCTTTGTGCGATAATAAAGGGGCATAGCCAATTATGCCTCAAAGTTCTTGCTTATATATCGGCAATTCCTTCCCTTGACACAACTTGTGCAATGTGGAAGACACGTATGATTCACTTTTTGTTTTTTGTACCGCACCAGAACTCAGAAGTATTTTATCAAAACGTACACAAGTCCAGGTTATCATTGCCTGTTTAGTTCACGTGGGTTTTTTTGTCCATGGCCGCTCATTTATTCTTATCTTCGCCTTTCAAAGAAGTTGACAGAGCTCAGTGCACTGCTATATTTACCACAAAATCCTCTTCATTTATTATACATAATATAAAAAATATGTACAGAACAAGTTGGTTCCAAATAAGAATAATTTCTACTCTATGCTGCTATACCTAATTATATGTCCTAGACTAATTTTGAAAACTGAACTGCCAAAATGCTACAGAAAATTGAAGTGGTGTTGCAGATTAGTCTAGCATCTGCGTTTGTCGCGGCCGCTACCCGCGAATCGCGGTCGCAATTTTTGCATAAAAAACCCCCCAAAAAACAACAACAAAAACAACAACAACCCCGGGGAATGATATTGAAAAAAAAAAAGAAAGAAACCGAGCCTCTTTATTTTAGAAAGAAAGTTTATTTTCATTTCGTCTCTTTCTCACTTGTTGATGCCACGTTGATTTGCTATTTTCATGTGAAGAAAATAAATACATTACGTACTATTTTTAATTTCTTGGTGTGTTAATTTTTTAACTTTTTTAAAATTTTCTAAATGAATGGTCTGATGTGTTGTTTTTCTACTTGTTTGTTTATATAGAGTAATGTCATTTAATATATGCGTTATGTTAGGGATGGTCTCCACCAAAACGGAACACTGACACTGGCAGGTCCCTTGTGTGTGATTCCATAATTTACATGTAATATCCTGTAATTTTTCTTGAATTACACACGTTTAGGGTTAAAACGGCCAATCTTCGGATAGGTGGACACACGCCTTTATTTGTTAATTTTTGTGTTTGTTTTTGTGCTTCTCTAATTGTGATTTCATTCTGTGATGAAACCTGTATTTTTCCCGTTTTTACACTCTGAGTGGCTACACATGATATTCTGGATGCTTAAAACAGAGCACAATCAATTATGGTGCTTTAGATTAAGTTATTTCTATCAACATATTGCTATACGTCGTCACAGAGAGTTGAAAGCTTGAAAATTAATGGCAACTTTTACTTTTTTTGTGGCAACTTTTGGCAGCTTTTGGACAAAAAAATGGCAACAAACGCAGATGCTAGATTAGTGTAAAAAGTGCTGAAAAATGTATGCCTTTATCATAGTGTGACATATTATTTGCTTAACAAGGTGCATTGCAATGTAAGGTGTGGGGTGGCTAGGCCTGGAATATGGCAAAATGTGGTTCATCGACGGACACGCGCGCAGCTCCCATAGAACGGACATGCTCGGTTATAACAGTGATCCAACCATCAACATAATCCTAAAACAAACGGACAGCAAAGCAGAAAAAAGCAAATGAAGCAGAAAAAAAAGATAGCCTACATTGATTGTGAATTGCCCCTTCATGACTCATAGTAGACCTAATAAGTTGATTGTGTACACATTTCATCTTGTGTCATACCATGTGTGCAGGGAGGGATGTGTTTTGGGAAGGGGGGGGGGGGGCGAGAGAGCTAGATGTTCTCTGGTGTTAGTGTAAATCTAGTCAAACTTAGCGTGACCTCACCCTAAATTGCTATGTCTCTCTCTTGCCCTTTTTAACTCCCAATGGAGCATAGGCCATCAACATTTCTCCAGCGAAGCCTGTCCTGTGCATCCTTTTCTAGCTGTTTCCATAATGTCCCCGCCTTTTCCATTTCCTCTTGTACGGCTCGCCTCCTTGTCATCTTTGGTCTTCCTTTCTTACGTTTTCCCTGTGGATTCTCTGTCAAAGCCTGTCTGAGGATGCTTGTCGGGGTCTCCTCAGGGTGTGCCCAATCCATTTCCCTTTCTTCACCTGTATGTCTTCCTTTACTGGCCTTTGGCTAGTTCTTTCCCGCATTCAGTTGAGCATTTGTGACTCGATCGTACCACTTGATCCCCACTATCCTTCTTAGACATCCATTTATGTAGTTCTGCAGTTTCTTTGCAGCTGATGCTTTGAGTTTCTGTGTTTCTGAACCTTGCAGTAGAACAGTCTTCGCGTTTGTTTTGAAGATCACCAGCTTGGTGTTCAATCCCAGTTCCTTAGACATCCATATATATATATATATATATATATATATATATATATATATATATATATATATATATATATTCCTGACGATTATGAATGCTGCTTTTGCCTTTTGGATTCTGACCTTGATGTCCTCGTATGTTACCCCTGCCTTGTTGATGACACTTCCCAGGTTGGTGAAGGATTCAACATTCGCCAATGGTACCCATTGGCGGATGGATGACACTTC